ATTTCCATTATCACGTTGAATATTTTTTGGAAATTACTCGTCTACAAACATGATAAATGAAAGACCAAAATTATTAACTTTCACCAGTGTATGTCAACAATCATAGTTGCCTTGGTTAAAGTTCAAAATATTTATTATGTCCGATTTGATAATAATTTATTCATCGGTTTTTGAATTCGATATTTTACTATCCGATTCGGAAAAGCATAAGTGTTGGGAATATCCGGGCAGGGATAATAATCGGTTTTTTCTACCGTATTAGTTTTTAAAATCTTTGCCCGGCATACCCTGCACTGTTTTTTATTTTTTTAAATTTGAGTATCATCTCACGGTATACACTTCCCCCATAATTCCTACGCTTGTGTTATTTTGTAAAAAAAAATACCACAGCCCGGTATACCCTACTCTGACGTTTATCTAATCGATATTAAAATATTAGGGAATAAATTAATATTGGAAATTCACTAAAGTGACTATGTGGTTATTGCCATTCACCGGTGAAAGTTGACTATTTCCAGATTTCGGTCTTTTACGATGATATGTAAACTATAATTTGTTATGGAGACAAATTTAATCATTTATTTTGGTACCATTGGGGCACCAATCAACATGTCGAACATTGACCAGGTTGACCAAACATTGCGTAAGCACCTAAATGAGGAAAGGGGGTTTGTTATTTGCTTATTTTTGCTAATAGGAAGGGAGGATGAGCAATGCTTACGTAAGAGACTAAAATTTAATTTTTGATTTAATTTTTTAAAGATAAGTAAAATAATAAATTTGGAAAATTTTTATAAAATAAATTTCTTTTACGAAAAATTGTATCTTTCATTTCAGTTTAATCCAAAAATTCTTAAAATTAAATTGCTACAGTAGAAGTGTAAGTTTAAACAAAGAGGAGTTACAGTTTTCTAATATGAACTTAATAGGGGGTTTGTAATTTGCTGATAAAATAAGAGGTTAAACGTGTGCTTACATAATATTTGAACAACCCTTTAAAAGAACAATACTATTATGCAACCAGTTATTAAAAATAATGTGATATATAGAAAATATACAGAATAGTTTCAGTTCTATTACACCCCCCTATAGTGAACCAGCAATAAGTGGCCTATAAACTGGTACACTCTATCAAAAATTTACTTTTACACATTGTTCAAAACAGTGACTGCAATAGGTACACAGTTTGCTTTATAAATTGTTCAACTAAATGCTCTGTCTACAACGAATATTCTTCCTAAAATGAAATTTTAAGCAAAACGTTACGTTATTCTCCATATAGCGTTTTTTTTATAGATGTTTCACTTTTTGTCATCTATTAAGCACTCTTATGCATTACTTCCTTTTTAATTAAAAAACACAATTATATTTTATCACATAGACTAAAAAAATTTTATTATTTATTTAAATAAACTGCTTGTAGGAGTCCATTTTAAATTAACTCTAGACAAATGTAAATTTCTGTTCATTTCAAGTAACTACCAGAAAAATATTATTTTAAAATTAAAATCGATGAATTTGTATTCATAACACTATTCAATGGAATGCATATTGAATGAATAAGAATACAATAGACCTGTGACAAATACGTTCTAAACATCAATAGTTTAGACCAAAACATGATGAATAATATTGATTTTTATAATAATGTTAAAAAAATAATTATTACAAGTGTAGTACATATTGAAATAACTGTTTAGATAGGGGTTAGATAGGGATAGAACTGTTTGATAAGGATTTGTAATAAAAAAATGAAAATTAATTCAAATGACATACTTTAAGATATCGCATTCATTTGGTGTTTAAACAATAATATAATTATGCATTGTTTCTTTTCATTTTTCTAATAAGTACTATAGTATTAAAAAGGAAGAGTATTCCAAAATAGTTATGGAATAATGATTATTCAAAGAAACTAATGGAGTATGTGATTAATTAAGATCGCTCTCAATCCCATAGCAAGAAATTAGACTGATCTCTTTTAGTAATACTTGTTCAATCTGAAATAATATTTTATTTAATCGTAATTTTTTTGAAAAAAAGACTTATTTTCCTTCTACTTTATAATGCATATTATGCTCGGCCAACAAAAATTAATTCGGACCAGTATGGTAACAACTATGGATAGATTTAACCACAAAAGGTCGTATTATTCTTAAATTATTATTAAAATAATTGTAAAATCAAGTATAATTACTGAGAATAATACGACCACAAAGAATCATATTATTGAATTATTAGAATAACAGTAACTGAATGAGAAATAATAATTGAGAATAATAAGACCGCAAAGGATCATATTATTCTTTAATTGCTCAAAAAATCGAGAATGAGGCGACCAAAATGAATCTTATTATTCTTAAATTGTTAGAATAATAATAATTGAGAATCATACCACCACAAAGAGTGGTATTATTCTCAATTATTTCTCTTAAATTTGTTGCTAAAGATATTTGATTTTTCTCCTTTTACAACAAAAACATTTTATCAACGCATTAATAATGACTTTTGTTATAATTTCAATATTATTATTAAGATAGTGCATATTGAAAAAGTTATTGAATAGTGGTTATATAATGTTATATTTTCAAATGATATAACATTTGTTGTATTCTTTCAAATATTATACTTAAACTCTATGAATATGTGTTTTTTGTTATCGACTGTAACAAAAACATTTAAAAAATGGATTCCTTTTAATTCATAGTTGTAGAATACAGTATTAAATCAATCGTTTTTTGCCAACACATTTGAAACTTTGGAGAAATGGTTAAAATTGTATAAAAGTTAATGAAAAAATATTATTAATACGAGATTTTTTTATCTCTCTCGCTTCTTATTTAATTTTTTTATCAGTGTTAGAGACATTTTTTACAAAATTGAGAGTGGTGCTTAAAAATTCTGACAATTTAGAAAAAACAAATAGGTTACATAAATTAATAATTCGAAAATAATTTGCGAGAGTTTCAGCAGAAAATAATGTATCACAAAATGAAAATAATAAATGAAAAAATAACCACTTTATAGTTTCAGCCAATTGAATTTAAAATAAATAATGCAAACGGAAAGTAATGAGGAACATTTTATTCGTTACATGTCCTCTTCTTTTCTTTCCTTTTTTGAAAGAAAAAAAAAAGAATTTACTTTTTCTTTTCAAACATATATGGATCCATTGAAATTTTTCAAATAGTTTTTGTGAAATCAAACTAATATACGTCTTTTTTAAATTTATAAATCAGAAACTATTCAACTAATTGCACTCAAGTTTTGTACTTCTCCAATTAAAATTAGATTCTTTAAACTGATGTAAAAATTTATATACTTTACAAAATTTATATACTTTACAAAATTTATGTACTTTACAAAATTTATATACTTTACAATTTAAACTCTTTTCGACTATTATCAGATAAAATAATAAATAATTATTAAAAATTATTCTTTGAGTGGAATTATCTTTGGATTAAAAAATTTATATAATTTTGTATAAACAGCTCTCATGATCAATATATTGGAATCTTATTTCGCGGATTTCGGGTACCCGTCATATTGTGTGTGTCAAAAATCGAAATCCGTCGAAAAGACTATGTTTATACAGAGAGAATTCTTTTTTTTTTTTTTTTTTTTTTTTTTTTTTTTTTTTTTTTTTTTTTTTNTTTTTAAGTTCTTTTTTTACTCTGATTAATTAGCCTATATATGGTCTGGCCCATCTTCAAACCAATAAAATAGAGTTTTAGTATGAAAAAATCCAATTGTTCAGGGTATTCCGTCGTTTTTTTTTTTTTTTTTACACGCTTTATGTTTATAAAAAAAAGCCAATATGTAGAATAAAATTATTTTCGCTATCGTTCTGTTTCTCATCTTTTCTATCGTAAATTCGAAATAAATTTCTTTATTTTTTCTTCCTATTCTTATCCAAATATCGATGATAGACGATTTATATTGTACATGTCTTATAAAAGAAACTTTTTTTTTAGATTTTGATGACATGATTGTATCGTATAACTTGATTCATTCCCTCTCCTTATGGTACAAAATAGTAAAAATAAGCAGTTTGTATTTTTTCCCCTTTTTTCGTTTTGCTTATTTATTTATGTAACTCCGATGCAACACCGGTGTCCCTTTCATATGTTTTTTTCTGACACTTTATTTATAAGTAAAAATATTTTTTGGTGTTTTTTAATTATAAGAAAGTTGTCAAATAGCTGCTAAAAACAATTTGTTATATTATCTTAATTAGATTAAGAGTAAAATATAGAATCCCAAAACAAAGAAAGAACGAAAAAATAATAGCTTGAAAATTGTTTCTTTTTTTTTCATTTATGTTCGAAAATTTATTAATAATTGGTGTTTGTGAATTACAGAATTTGCAATGATGAATTTTTCTTCGCTCCAAATAGTTACAAATAACTGCAAATTTGAAAAACTATTGTTTGGAAGTGAGCCGCGTTTTGAAGACCTTTAAAGCAAAATAAAGGCAGCTGTGTTTCATGTTGTATTTCAATAACCCTAAATTATTAAAGTTCTAAATAAAAATTTCTTCACTTATTTTGACCTAAGATAACCTAAAGATTTTGACCTAAGTTAAGATAACGAAAAAAAGAATGAAAAATATGTTACTAAAAATTCTGCGTAAAGGAGTTGACTAGACTTTTATTTTAACATTATCGTTGACTTTAAGGAAGGCTTACAAAAAATTTAAATGCATAAAAAAAGAGGAAATACAAAATTTAAATGCTATATTTATGATATTAAATTCTAGAAAACGCAGATCGGTCCCATAATTTATTATTATTATTTTAAAGAATATGCCAAAAATGCACATTAGGGCGACAAAACTTTTACTTTCACATTTAAATGAAAGGGAAAAAAGACAAAATAAACAGAGAGGGCAATTTTTTTCTTCTTATTTTTGTGGCATTTTGCCAAAAATGAATATCAGAGCTGTTTTGAGTTCCAGGTGTATGGGATTAAGTTTTACAAAGACCTTTGTTTCAGAATTAGTTGCAAACGGTTTCATCTTCCAAAACGGCTGTAATGAATTCCTCAACTTGTTGCGGTCCTAAACTAGAATAATCTTTCAAGTAAGAACACAACGAGCTCACCAGTTCCTTCTTACTTCCTCTCAAAACAGCTTTGTAGACCTTCGAATGCAGGTCAAAAAGATCTTCGTTCCGAACCCCAACCGATTCCATTATCCTCCCGAGACTCTCTGTGATGTTGAGAGCACGAGCTCTCGCCCATAACGGAGACCCTGAATGAACCCATTCGGAATTGTATTTCTCATTCGTGACTTTCCGAACGAACAAATCTAACAAAAGCAACGCACCGTTTAAATCAACTGATTTTAAGCTTTCCTTCACTTTCAAATTTTCCGATGGCTTTGAAGGATGGTCCAAAAGATGATGAAGAGCATCTCTCACATAATTGCCGTTGTGATTCAATGCAACGAATGGTTTCTTATTCTTTGAGTCAAACGTCAATTTATTAGAATCTTCGATATCTCGGCGATATTGCCTAGTGCAGCGGCCTCTCTGCACTAGCAGGTCTAGAATTTCTCCCTTTGCTAACTCACAGGCCAAAGTATCCGCATCCCTGGCTCGTGTATTATCTTCCAATCTTTGTTCTTTTTCCTTGTTTAATAATGGAACAATCACGTCCTTCTTACCGTGGATGATGGCAAGATTGAGGGGTGTCTGGTCTTTGGATGTCTTTTTATACACTTTTGCTCCATTTCTGAGCAGGACATTGACCGATTCCTGCTGGCCACTAGCAGCGGCCAAATGTAGGGGCGTCTGCATGTCGGCGTCTAAAACATCGACCATGATGTGCCGTTCTCTACCTTCGGTCTCTAACAAATCTACCACGAACTCTGGTTGCTTGAAAAATACGGCATAATGCAATGCAGTCCACATTCTTTCTCCCGCTGCATCATTGATTCGTCTTTTATTCCTCGTCAAGAGATCCTCCGTCAACCCGTCAAGCCCCTTCATGGCGGCATAATGCAGTGGCGTCATATTATTGTTGTCTTTCGGCCACTTATTAATATTACTGGTTTGCAGTAACCTTCTAAGAGGATATTCTAGATGCAGGATTGTAGAGTAATGCAGTGGGGTCAAACCACTAGCATCTTTCGCATTCGGATCAACCTTTCCACTGTCTAGCAACTTACTGCAAATACTCAGACTGAAACTTGTGTCGGCCACGCTAAGGTGCAAAGGAGTCATTCCGGCTTTATCTTTTAGATTGGGGTCAATGCTGGCAGTTGCCAACAAAGCTTCCACAATATCGTCAGACTGTTGACGAACGGCCAAATGTAATGGGGTCAAATTATAAGTGTCAGTTTGAACATTGACGTTTGCTCCTAGCCTAATCAGTTCATTCACGACGCCAATTTGCTTTCGTTCCGAAGCAATGTGAAGCGGCGTGAAGCCAACAGAATCTTTCAGATCAATGAGTGAGCTGTCTAACTGTAAAATGTGAGAAAGTAAACTGACTCTGCCGTTTTCTGCGGCGGCATGGACGACGCCTCTTTTATTCTCGAACACCGCTGCCAAGCTTGCCCCCAAGTTCTGATTGAGAATGATCATGTTATTTAAAACTTCGGCGTCATTGAGAGATCTTTTAGATGGCAAGTTATAGAGATCCCTGTCTACGTCCCTAAATATTCTCTGGATCCCCGAGACGATGCGTACTAATTCCGGGGGGTTGTTGTCAAACTTTCGAAAAACTAGCCTGTTCATTGGATGTTCACTTCTGAGCTCAATATTGGGATTAGCTACGCTAATAACGTCGTGCGTTATCCAATTGCTAATTTTAGAATATTTACCTCCACTTTCGAACTGCAGCGCGTAGCTAACCTTACCACCGTTTTTCCAATCCAGAAAGTCAGTGTTACTATTTAGAGGACCTTCGTAGGTGCTGAATGTAATCTCTATGTCATTTCGGGGTGTCATAGATATAATGGGTAAAACCATGTCGTTTACTCTTTGTTTCAGCGCTCCTAAAGTTGTCATTTGGTTTTCAATAGCTTGGTGCATAGAGCTTTGTGCGTCATAAATCTTTTCTGCCCCACTGAGCAACTGCGTCACTTTGTCTATTAAACCATTTTGTTTTCCCAGAATACTCTTGAAAGTTGTAAAGTAAAAGGACAATTTGTTTACGTGCCTATTGAATTTATCCAACTCGTTCTTCTGATAATAATGTTCGGAAATGTAAGCATATTGATCCAAAAGGGAAAAGACAATCGTAGCGTACGTCACTGTTCCGTAACTTAAAGCAACGAGAGCATTGTACGCATTTTTATCATTGTTGCCACTGGGGTTGACGTAATTCTGTCCCATGATCGAATATAATGCCCCGTATAACGTGCCTTGCTGTTTTATGTACTCAAAAAGGATGTTGCCTTCGATTTCCTGTTGGATGAAATTTATGTATTGTTCTTTGTTAGCGTTCCGCTTGTTTTCTTCACTCGTCGCGAAAGCAGAACTCGCGCCTGTAATGATGGCCGCGTTCCTGTTGATATCCTGAGAATCCATCTTTGTCAGAACTAGCTCAAATCCTGCTCTCATTTCTCGCCTGGTTATTTCTAGCTGAGTCAGAGTTTCACTGATCTTCCCAGATATGTCTTTTAGAACTTCCATTTGCTCATCCAGCTTCCGGTTGACTTCGCTGAATTTCTCATTTAGTTTTTCTTCCAGCTCTTTGAATGGAACGTCAGAGCAATCTCTATCAATACTGGCATCACCCAGCAAACCTTTGACCGCTGAAGTGCCCAGCATGAGACCGCCCATGACCACCCCTAGCCCCGGCATGACCAAAGCACCCGCAATCGCTCCTACTGCACCCGCCACCCCCAGAAAAGTGTCGAAAGCGTTCGTATCTTTCTCTAGGCGCTTGCACTTCTCTGCTAACTGCTCTAACTCGGCATCTCGCGTCAATCGCATCAATGCCCGGATATTCTTATCGACGGAAGAAGACATGAATAGAATCAATACTTACTTACAGCAAAAAACAAAAAAATGTTTGAGAGAAAAATGCGTGAAGTACTGTTTTGGGAAACTTATTTATACTCAAAAATTGAGACTTCAGAACCTCCTCCATTTTTTATCATATTTTTCTTTTATTGCATAAATGTATTTAGAAAAAAAAATTGAATGCAACAATGATCTTTAGTATGATAACATGTCAGCTTTTTGCAGCTGCACACATCTGCTGATTGACGGAACATTGGCAAATGTCTTTTGGAATTCCACCACATTTTTTTACATTTCATTTCATGTATTTTTCCCCATTAAAATTCCTTTTTCGTTAACAAAAGTAATTTTTTTTTAATTTTATTTTTTTTTTAAATTTGTTTAAACCTTTCGAGACTTAATGTATTGGACAAAGTTTGGTAAACTTTTTTCACTTAAAAAATCACCACATTATAAATTACCCTATTTTAATATTTTTGGCTTCAAAATCATCGATTTTTTCCTTTCGAAATATCAAGGAGAAACGGTGGTTGAAAATTCTCTGTCTCGAATCGCACAATCACGTGATTTTATTGTGATGACATAAATTGTGACCATCTCCACGCTTCATTATATTTTAATTCTATTGTTCAAACCAAAATTTCTTTAAATACATTCCTGTAGACCCAATCTTATGAACTGATCGTAAGGACATGGTCCATAGTAGAACACCAAAGCCAAGCATCACTGGCTGCTGTCAGTAAGGGGTGTGTGACCACTTTGATCAGCCTAAGTAGGGACCAAGGGTGTGCGGTATCGGTTCGCGTTAAACTGTTCTACCGTAAAGTGCTCGACCTCGCTCGCAGGTCGTCGGGTTACCGAAGCGGAGGAGCTAGTTCCTCTGCAAAGGATCAAAATTGCGATAGCATGTCTTCGGATCATCCTGAGGGATGTTTCCCAGACCGTCGCCAATAGCATATTGTGCTGCTCTAGTGCGACGTAAATAAAATTCCTACCTACCCTCCTAAAATTCTTTTAATTTTAAATACAAGCTAGTAGCATAAAAGAATCAATTCTTAACCGTAACCGAATCTTCCAGATCAGTACTCTCATTTCATGAAAAATCTCTTCCCAAGTGATTTTTGCACTGATTTGGATTTCAATCATTCAAATGTTTTGCAACTCAGTATATTTTTTTCGTGCGAAATATTGTAAGCGTTTTTTTTTCTTGTCAGTTTTTGTAACCATTGATTTCTCTTTTTTATACTCAATATTTTAAGCAGTTTCTTTTATTTCAAACTTACCATTTTTTATGCTAATTATTGAAACCAGTTTTTTTCCTTCAAAATAATGTAATATTACCTATGTTTTTTTGTACAAGATATTGTATCCAGTTTTTTTTCTCTTTTTTTTTTGTGCTAGTAACCAAAATAAGCAAATTTTATTCATTCCAAACATTGTACAGAGAGATTTTTCCAAGTAACATACTCTACTCAGAAACAAAATCATTACATTACATTCAAAACATTACAAAATATTGTACCCGGTGACTTTTTCCAAGCAATATGTTCATGAAAGATGTTGAAAGATCATGAAAGAAGACGAAATAGTTTGAAAGCTTCTTACTGGAAGCGTTATTTATACAAAATATTGTATACAGAGACTTTTTCCAAGCAGCATATTCTACTCGGAGGTGTTTTTCATACAAAACATTTTACCCGGAGATTGTCAGCGCAAAATGTTTTATGATTGTCGTTGAACAGCAGACCCAATTTTGAGTTTACGGCTACCGTTGTTCAACGCCATAGCCTTGTAATTTTGACCCCAATGCACAAGACAAGGGAACCAGCGAATTAAGCACTGGGAGAATCTTTGCCTTTCTGGAGGACTTTTTGGTGTAACTAACCAGCATTTACATTATATGGAGAAGAAAACCACGAAAACCTCCCACAGTTAGTTAGACGGCAAGGAAACTCTAACCCATGATCCGTCTACCACTGAGGACATTTTACGTCAGCACAGTCACCGGTGCGGAATTTGTATCCACCAGCCATCGCTGAGATTCGAACCCGGTTCACCTCAATGGCAGGCGAATGCTCTATTCTCTGAGCCACCACGGCTCAGCACAAAATATTGGGGAAAAGAAAGTTATGCAATTAATAACAAATCAAATATGTTTTTGCATTTAAATATAGTATAAATTTCACATAATAACAGCACCTGAAATTTTAAAATCCCTTGCATTGGAGACCATGTATACTGAGTACCCAAAACATCAATGGTTACACATTTATACAGATGGCTCTTACTCTGACTTGTAAATGGCTGCCGGATCCGGTGTTTTCTCTGATCTCTTTGCCTTCTACGCATCTGCCGGGAAATACAAAACGGCCTTCGATGGCGAAGTACATGCTATATATATTGCATTGAAACAACTGTTGGCCATCCATTCAAAATTTGGAAAAGTTGTATTGCTGTCAGATTCAGGCAATCGGGTCACAGGGAGACACTTTGTCGGATGAAGTGCTTAAGTGTCGGAGACTTATTAGACTTTTGGCACTAAAAAACAAAAGCGTAGTCATCTTGTGGATTCCCAGCCATTGTAACATCTATGGTAACGAGCAAGCTGACTTTCTTGCTCGCAAGGGAACACAAATCCTTTAAGTTGCTCTGGATTGTCATACCATTCCATAAAACTACATATAAAATGAATGCCTCTGCTGACCTACGAGAAAGCTTAAGGAATATGAACTGGAGTGAGACAGATATTAAGGCAGTGCCTGATAAGCCTCGCCGAGATGCAGTAGCCACCTTTAGACTCCTAACAGGTCATGATTGTCTTGGGGGCCCTACCATGAGCTACCGGGAATGGAATGAAGATTCCCGGCTGGAAAGTGAAACTGGGAAAGTTTGGTTCCATGAATGTTCAATACCGCACCATGAACACTCCCTTGGAATCAGACATTCCACGATAACTCGCTCTCAGGGCGTGGCTAAAATTTAACCAATCACACAATTTACTTTAGATTTTCTTTTTGAGTTTGGCANGGAAATAAGAATTAAAAAAACTTTCACGAAATTATATTTGCAGCTAAATAATAAACTAAATGAAATATTAATTTATTTTCCAGTTACTTTATTTTTTGTTAGTTTGATTTGCTGCCAAAACTTAGTTAAGCGTATGATGAAAGATTTTGGGAATGAAATTAAAATTAATTATTCCTATTAATTGCTTTTAAAAATCATCCATAATTTTTCTTTATTTATCAACATGAAACTGTGAACTATCAGTTCGTAATTTTTGTCAGAACATTTTAAAGAAAAGTTCCCGTTGAAACTTTATCTATAAACATAATTAGTTTTACAATTAGTATAAGTGGAAATAATCTAAATTTTTTTTTAAATTGTTAAGAAAAATTATTCATACACGGTTTGACTAGTTCAACACATCAGGGAAATGTAATCATATATTGTTATAAATTCCTGTTCAAAAACAAATCCGTCAAACATCCTTGTATCAATTCGAAAATGAATTAATTAGGGAATAATCTCTTAATAGTATAGAAGCAAGTATCAAGATATATCAAGTTCAGTAACTCATTATAAACCTCTGTCAAGAAACTGGATATAGAATCAGTTCCAAAAATAGTCAGCTCAAAATGAATTTCCAGATTGAAATCGAATACACAGTCCAGAAACTAAGTTCGAAAGTAAATAATTCTTTCGCGAAGTATTTTCGAACTGAATTGCCTAGTCAATGTTGTGGGCGTGGTCTACGGCTGATCGAATTAAAAGCTGGTACGGATCTTCGGAATCCAAACTGATTTGCAATAAATGACGTCTGTTTCTGGACAATAAAAGACAACAGGTCAGGATTAACTACTAAAAGAGGATTACTACTGTCTTCTACTCTCAGATGAGAATGATCCTTCATGTAGTTCACCAGAGCCGCGGTGGCTCTGAGGATTCTCTCAATGAGGGGACACAGGTTTGAATCCTGGCGATGGCTGGTTGATATGAATTCTTCTTTCAGGTTGCATCGACCACAATGCTTACATAAAAATATTTCCTCAGTGGTAGAAGAACTATGGGTTAGATCCCTTTTCCATCGGGTTAACCGCGGGAGGTTTTGCATGGTTTCCCCCTCCATGTAACAAAAATGCAGGTTAGTTTAATCAAAAAGTCTTTCATGGAGGATAGTTTATGGCAGTGCTTGATCCAGGAGTGCCCTTGTCTTCTAGATTGGGTTCAAAATGATTTAGCTATGACATTGAACATAGATAGTCGTAAATTCAAAATAGAGTGAGTTGTTCCATGCCGGTTATAAACTAGAATGCAGAGAATTGTCTTTTTCATCATTGTTTAGGATTGTAATAAATAAAAATGTATTACATTTTATTTAATAAATATTTTTAAATATTAGTTTACCATTGAAAATTGTTCACTTATTCCTGAATAGGTGGCATCACTGGCTAGTTCGGCTTATTATCGAATTTTTGTAAGTTTTAATGGTGTATACCATGATTTGCCTCCAGGTGGCACCACTATGATACGTTTTAAAATGAATCACAATAGTGACATATTTATACGCCCGGTGGTAGAGTGGTAGCGCTTCGCGCTCCGGTGCCACAGGTCCTGGGTTCGAACCTCGGGTCGGGCAAGATTGACTCACCCCTTCAGTGGGTCGATAAATGAGTACCAAGCATGGTTGGGAACTATTTACTGGGGGTTCCACGTTCGGCTGACCACCTGACAGGAACATCTGCTCCTGCACCCCGCACCCCAGAGCCCAAGGTCAAGAAAACTGAGATGGGCACAGAAGGCCTTGGCCCTTTATTGGCTGTCGCGCCACTGAGTTTAGTTTAGTTTAGTGATATATTTATATTAAATTTTTAATTATTTTTTAAATAATGAATTTTTTGGTTAAATTATGTTTATATCAAATTAGTATTGTTTTATCAATTGTATAAAATATTATTTCATTCATGACTGTTTTCATCGCTGGACTATTTTTTTTTTTGTTTTTT